GCAGCAAAAGCGACAAGCTCCAGAAGCTCTACTTCATTCGGTAAATCACGGTGCTCGGCGCCTGCGAGACGCAGGGTAGGCCACCCCGCGGGGCACGCATGCACTGCAGGCGAGATTTTGCCTACCTTACAGGCGCTAGGAGCTAGCATTGGCTGGACTTAACAGTTAACGTAAAGAACGCATTTTCTGCATGATCTCCCCACCCCCCTAATGGTGATAGTTTGAGGCAAGGAACGAGTTATTCCCCAGCGCAAAATTAATTTTGTGTTCCAGGTCTCCCTTCTTTTTGTTTCGATGTCGGTTCGCAACGTGAGTGCGTGGCAATACTTGGTTGTCCTTCCTTAATGAACCTATCAAGAGGTAACACCCCCACGTCTTCATGACCATGGACAAGAGCCCTGTGGTAGTCTGGGACCACGGACATGCATCTTCGCCCCCCCCCCTTTACCTCCCCTCTCTCCGTGCCTCCTCTACTCTACCATATCTGATAGCGCAAACGTAAGCAAGAGGCCGTGTGTCGTGTCGTTCTTCATGAGGGTGGCTGTGACTTTCCCCCCGGAGGCGAGGAGGACAACAACAGCAGCTCTACGGCCTAAAGCCCTACCTTGTCCCCCCCCCCCCCCCCTCTCGCTCTCGCTCTAGCTCACTCGGTCGGCACAGAGAAGGAGTTGCTGGTTGTTGTTGCTGGTGGTACATATGTTTGCGCAGGGAGGAGCTGACCGCTATACATTTTGTATGTCCGGCCCGTGGTGGCGCGCGCGGTCGTCGTGGACGTGACCGCGGCCGCGCGGAAGGGAACTTCTCTCCTCATTCCGTGCCCGCCGGCCTCTCGCGCACACACACACACACACACACACACACACACACACGCGCGCGCACACGCACACACACACACGCGCGCCCGCGGGGGAGCAGCATGTCGTCGCGTAGATAAGGACTCCGTGTGTGTTCGCCGCCGCGCCGACCAGGCCAGGCTTGACCCGCGCAGGTGTCCCGGACTGTCCTGCTGGCGCCCCCCTCCTCCCTCCCTCCGCGACAACCGCTGCACGGCGTTCGGACACACCCTCAGAGTCACCCGCAGCCGGGCCGGGGCTGGGGGCCATGGGTAGGCGCGAAAACTTGCGGCAACGCGTCAAAACTATGCCACCGAGCCTAAAGGGTAAGATAAGATAAATGTGACTTTTTTGTTGGCGTCGGACTGTAGGACAGTGCGCGTAACACCAACCCGCCGGGTCCACAGCGCCATACCTGAGTCACTGAGTCACATCCTGACCCACCCTCACCCCACCCCACCTCCACGTCGTCTCACCGAGCAGGCTGTTCGCCCCGCCGCCGTCTGCCGTACACGGGGACAAACTTTTATTCAGCGCGACGAGAAAAACAGCGCGGTGTCCAGAAGAAGACGGCGCACAGCGCATACTGCAGCTGGCTGTCGGGGCTGCGGCGGGCTGCGCCGAGCTGCGGCAGGTGGACAGCAGGTGCGGGGCCGCGGCGGCGCCTCGCACGTGACGGTGGCCATAAAGCACACACACACATACACACACTCGCGACTCACCACTTTTCCTCTTTATCCTCACTTTCGACTTTTCATTCCGGAGAGGGTCAAGGGGGTCGCGCGGGTGAATAACAAGGAGGGGAAGGCCCTCCATCTCCTCTAGAACATCACATTGTTATGAGCAGCAAATAAATGAAACACAAATCTCTGTATACCGTTGGATACTCATCTCAGCGGTGGCTGTTATGACTATGTTTTCTCATTCACCGTGCAATGTTCGTCTTTTCCCCTTCAGTGAGTGACGATATGCCTCGCGGTCCCCGGCAAGCAAGCAGCGATGCGTTCGTTGAATGAGTATCACGCCGATCAACCTTCTCCGCGATGCTGCGATGCTCCCTTCCCCTCTCCCTAACGCCTCCGTTAAGTGAGTGAGCCACCATCGCGCCCCATCGCTCGCCGGCTGCTCCCCTTAATGGCGTCCAACGGCGTCACAATCACGACGCGTCAATCTGCACGATTCCGTCAACCGCCGCCGCGCGGCGTCGCGTCCCGTGGCCGCCAACCACGTCGTAGCATCTGGGCGTGCCGGTCCACCATCACTGACCAAGTCACAAAGTCTGCCCGGAGCCGAGGGATTCTGTACTATAAATTATACATACACCGATTTTTCTCTCTTTTTTCTTTTCGTTTTCCTGATTTTGACTGAATTTTTTCTCGATTTTTACTGAATTTTTTCTTGATTTTTCCTTGATTTTTTCATGGTCTTTTTCTCTTCCATGTTTTTTTTCATTTTTTTTCTGTGAGGTGTACATTAAATATTTTTGGGTGAAGAACCCCGCACCCGGGGCCCCACAGGTGTGTGCGGTGCGCCTGCACGGCTTCTGCGCGCTGCACAGCCGCGGGCAGCGCCACTACAACGGTCACGACCTCCCAGTCAGTCATAGTGATGCGCAGGACGACGAGGGGACGGAAGTAAGTTAGTGTGTGGCCGTGTGATGGGACGCGAGAAAAAGCAATAATCGGCGTCAGAGAGACGCGCGCTCTCGCCGCCGCCCACCTTGGGGGAGCGCCGCTCGGCACCACCACGCGCGCGAGGAGCCCGCATCATCACGGCGGCACG